GGAGAATGCCAAACAACAGGGAGTGGCTATTATTTTGAATAAAAGCTTGAAGGGACCGTGGGAACCGGGCGGTGAGGTGTTGGAATCTGTAAGCCCCAGGCTACTTTAGGCTCGCCTCCCCATGGGCCGGACTGATTGGAAGCCATGGGTCAGATCAGCCCAATAACAAAGGTAGGAGGCGTCTAGACTTCTGTGCAGCCCATTGACTTGTAATTACCAACATGCTGTTCCCGTATCGGCGCATCCACACAACATCATGGATGCACATCGGGTCCAAGGAACAACATCTGCTGAACTATATAGTGACAGAACAGGAGATGCGGGTCCATGTTCTTGACACCAAGACCTACAAAAGAGCTGATTTGACCACTGACCATCGGCTTGTAATCTGTAAGATGCACCTGCCATTCTTCCACTCCGGTGGTTGGTGTACATCCAATACACCATTCAAACCTACAGTGGCCTAGTCTCAGCTAGCTGATGAAAGTTGCTAGCGAGAATTTCATCACTGCTTGCAGCTGGAGTTGGCATCGTCCCCCACTCCCCCTGATACGAAGAAGAAATTGGCGAGGTTTAGGACTGCTTCTCATGCAGCTGCAATGGCTATTTTGGGTACACGGTCCAAACCTTCCCAGAGACCCTGGTGACAAATGCGGTGTTTCGGCTGGCTGATAAAAAAAATCGACAGGCCCATTCTCACCATCTACAGCATCCCACATCAAAATTTTATTAATTATGGGGTCTAAATAATGTATTTTCTAATTTTGAGTGCAAATAAAGTGTGTGCATTGAAAAACAATGTACCTGGTGCTTTGTGTAAAAAAAAGCCACAATGAGAGACAAAGGCGGCCGGGCGTGGTGCTGGCCACCGACCCCCTCATGTCCCGTTCCGGCCTTTATAGGTCTCGCTAACAGCACTTGCCCAACAGTTTGTTACAGGCTATACAGGGCATATTTGATCTTTATAGTTGTATATCTGCGTGCGTGCGTAGTGCGGGCAGGAGAGAGAGGGAGGGGGGATAGACGACGTTGTTCGGACGTCGTGAGCTGGCCCGAGGGCGTCTCCTCTCCACTTGTCTCCAGGCCGGCACGGTAAGCACGGACCGGTTCGACTCTCGCTTCGTAGTGACGATGACGCCTCCGACACTGCTCATGAGTTGTGGTCATGTTCTCGTATTCGTTTTAAAATCAATAGCTACGTGGATAGTTTATAAATAAGAACATTACATAGTCTACTTTAATGTGGCATAACGCGTATGTTGTTGAAACGCGTTCCCCGTGTGTGTTTCTCTCTGTCTCTCTTTGTCCCTCTCTCTCTGACTCTCTCAGTATCTATGTATATCTATGTCTCTGTCTCTCTCAGTCTCTCAGTCTGTCTACCTCAGTCTCTTTGTCTCCTTCAGAACCTCTATCTATCTCGGTATCTCTCAGTCTTTGTGTCTCTTTCAGTCTCCCTGTCTGCCTCTTTCTTTATCTCTCTCTCTCTGTGCTTTGTCTGTCTCGCTCTCTCCTCTGTGCCAGCGTGGACGGCACCTTCAGGTTTATCTTTTGAAACACTCGCTCGTCGCCGTGGCGTATTTAGCGCCGCAGCGCGCGGATTTCTAGTGTTTGTTATTTGTTTGCTGGTGACTATTTCGTATCGGAATTGCCTCAGTGCTGTTGCTGCTGGCGGCTAATAAAAGTTGTTTAAAATTATCTCGGTCTCTTTCTCTCTGAGTCTCACTTCATCTCTCTTTCTCAGTATTTATTTCTCTCTGTGACTCTCTGTTTCTCTCTAAGTCTCTCAATCTGTCTACTTCTGTCTCTCCAGCAGTCTCTCTGGCTCTCAACCTCTCTGTCTCTTTCCCAATCTCTCTCAGTCGCTGTCTCAATCTCTCAAACTCTCTAAATTCATCTCTCTCAGTATATCTGTATCTCTCCATCTCTCTCTTTCTTCCTGGTGTCTCTCTCTGTCTCTCTTTATCTGTCTCTCTCAGTATCTTTGTATCGCAATATCTCTCTTAGTGTCACTTCATCTCTCTCTCAGTCTCTCTGTCTGGCTTTCTTTCTCTGTCTCTCTCTGTCACAGTGGAGGAGGCCACACGGCCCCTAACCCTAAGCGCGCGGCCACTGCCGATCACGAGGCCTATCCAAAAGTCGCAGAGCAGGACGAGCAACGCCCCCCCCCCCCCCCTGAACGCCATCCCAGACGGCATTGTGGGGGGGGGGGGGATGAAGACATGCTCGATGGCGACCCGCCTCAGGACAGCACGGTGGGACAAGTGCCACCAACACCCCCGCTGCCACCACCGCACGCCGCTTCAGCATCCTCAGGTCAAGAGGAACCACCAGCCGGTGCGGGACCTGACGGCGCCACGCTGCAGGAAGGTGACGAAGACTGGCTCACCTCACCGGAAGGGAGAGCAAAAGAACCTCCACTACCAGAGGGCAGCCACCCTCTTCCCGATGGGGCCCTGACATCACCAACGGCAAACGAGCTTTCTGCCAAGTCACAGTTTGACGAGCTGGAGGACTCAGACGACGAGGTGTCGGAGACTGAAGGAGAGGACAACGTGAGTGAGCTCAGCTACTCACAAGTCAACAGGGAGCGCAATTACTCACCTGGGGACATCCACAGCTTCCTCGGGAAAACTTTCAGGAAGCGTCAAGTTAGGGTCGGGGCCATTTTCCCTGACCTCACCGCTTTCCTCAAAGCGTCCCAAAAAATTTGCCACAACAGCGACAGGTTTGGTTTCTCGACTCAGGAATGTTACCGCCTAAAAGCGTTGATGTGCAATGCGAAAAAGGAGCTTACTTCTGCCCAGAAGTAGCCCAGCCTCCCCCAACTACTTTTAACACTACCACCACCACACAACTACATGATGGCTTCAGCTATTAAGGTTGCTAGTCTGAACTAAAACAGCGCTCGCAGTGACAAGAGGTGGGACCAGATCTGCTGCTTTGTCAGGGAACACAAAGCAGATGTGACTCTCTTCCAGGAAACTCTCCTCGACGTCACTCTGGAGGCCCAATGCCAACCTTTTCTAGGCGGCCGGGCCTTCTTCAGCCATGCCGAGGACAACCTCGCCGGCATGGCGATTGTGCTCAGTTCGCGGTTTGCGCCAGAGAATGTCTCCTTCAAAGAAATCGTCAAGATTTCCAAAATGTTAAACAAACACAAGATCCAGGCCCGATTCAATACAGTACACAAAATCCGTGATCTAATCCCATCTGTGAAGGATGTCATTCCTGACATGCAATATCCTGGAGTTTACAAACGACATATCTTGGACCGTGTTCGCGAACACAAGGCAGATCTGAAACACGACAGAACCAATACCTCTGCCGTGGCTGACCATTGTTATAACGCTGTGGGCTCACATGGCATTGTTTTTTCCGAGACCAAGGTTCTCTGCAAACCTTTGAGCTACTATCAAAGGTTTGTTCATGAAGCCATCCAGATATATAAACATAGACATAACTTCAACCGAGAAGATGGATACAAATTGTGCTCAGGCGAAGATGGCGGTGTACAGAACGAGGAACAAGTAAACCCGTAAAAACTAAGTTTTTCACTATAAATCCTTTATATGCGTGGCATCGGGGCGGCTCGAGTCCTCTCGTCCTCTGGCTTGAGATGGCTGCCACCTATGGGTCAGATGATTGTCTGGCAGCATTAAACAATTGGTAATTAAATATATATATATTTTTCCCTAAACAGTGTAAATTTTTTAATTTTTTTTTCACGAAAATGCATTGTCACGCACAACGAGTCTGTGTGCAAAATGTCAGCTCGATTGGATCACGGGAAGTGGGTTAAAAACGACCGAAAGATTTGCAAGGTCCTAAGCAAGCAAGCGAACTTAATATAAAGGATTTAAAAAGATGCTGGAAGGTGACACTGACGGCTGCTCTGTGTTTCCAGTGTTCAGGCGCCAGCTTAAGGCGCGACTCCGGCTAGATCACGCATACAACACACCTGTCGGTGATATGGACGTCTTCTTCAAATGCTGGGGAGCCGGAAAAGCCCTCTTTACCAGCGTGGACGGCACCCTCGTATTCACCTTCAGAAACGTTCACTCATCACCGTGGCGTGCGCAATGAACAACACCACCACCACGTGACTTTTCTTTTATGTTGTGCGCGGTGCATTTAGCGCCACAGCGCGTGGATTTATAGCGTTTGTTATGTTTGTTTGTTTGCTGGTGACTGTGTATTTCATATCAGAATCGCGTCCAGTGCTGTTGCTGCTGGCGGCAATAAAAGTTGTTTAAAAGTCAAGTCTCTCAATCTCTTTCTATCTCAGTCTCTCTCTTTCTCTGGTACAGATATAACTTAATCCTAGTATCTGTCATGTCACGATTATATTCACAATTATATTCTGAATCATAATCTGTATTTAGACAGCAGCAGGGGGAGGAATCCGATGAGCTACGAAGCTCTTTGTCACAGATGTCCAGTAGGGGCACGGATTCAGCAAGTTACAACGACAAACAATACAAAATTAATGCAATGTTTTGACTTAACACTTTCGTGACTGCAGGAATTCATATTCTTTTGGTTATTTCGGTGAAGCCACGTAGATAAATAAAGTGAATAAAAATAATAATAATAAATAAAAATAATATTAAACAAAAAACACTAATGTAGACTTTAGCCTGGTTATTAAGTTTGGTGAGTGTACTGGCAGTCTATAATGTAGACTGTAGCAATGTTATTAAGCTGGGTGAGTGGAATGGTAGTCTATAATGTCGACTATAGCCTTAACCTCGGTGAGTGTACTGGCAGTCTATAATGTAGACTGTAGCTTGGTTCAATGTAAGACACACACAGAGACACACACAGAGCGATAACCACAGAGAGACACACGTAAAGAGACACAAGCACAGAGAGAGAGAGAGACACACACGCAGAAAGACACACAGAGAAAGAGAGAGAGACACAACCTAGAGAGACACACTGATTTTGGAAATATTTTTGGTTAGCCCTGCTATGTATGATTTATTTTATTGTCAAGGTTACGACTTGATTTGTGTCGTTTTCTTGTTTTTCTTGTTTTCTTTCCCAAGGGCACATATGCCCCGCCCATTTCACTGCACGGCGGAGCTCTTGTGCCACGCCCATTTTTGAAATCTTATAAGCGGTTGCCTTCGGTGACATTCCTCTTATCTCCTGAAAACGATCGCTTGTGTTGTAATCGAAACGTCGTGTTATTTTTTAAGAGATATTTATTTTATTTTATATGTTTTACTGCCAGTACGCCGTCGCAGGTTTAGAACCAGGCTACCTACCTTATAGACTGCCAGTACGCTCACTCAGTTTTAATAACCATTGCTCCAGTCTACATTCTAGACTGCCAATAGGCTCACCAAGCTTAAAAACCAGGCTACAGTCTCCATTATGGACTGCCAGCACGCTCACAGAGGTTAAGAACCAGGCTCTAGTCTACATTATAGGCTGCCAGTCCACTCATCAAACTGAATAACCAGGCTACAGTTTACATTATAGACTACCAGTACACTTACTCCGATTAAGAACTAGGCTACAGTCTACATTGTAGAATGCCAGTACACTCACCACACTGAATAACCAAGCTGCAGTCTCCATCATAGACTGCCAGTACACTCACTCCGATTAAGAACCAGGCTACTGTCTACATTCGTGTTTTTTGTTCATTATTATTTTCATAACATTTTTTAAATTCACTTCATTATTTATTATTATTTTATTCTATCTACGTGACTTTACCGAAAGAACCAAAATATTAATACTACAATGGTGAATCGTCACATGGCGCGAACACTATGCACAGCATTACTGCTTGTGGAGTCTGCCGAGGATAAGTCGCAGTGTGGAGTCAATGACTGGGCTCTCCGTCCAAGCTTTGTTTGCTACAGCGAGCTCGGCCTATAACAGCAATATCCCTATATGTCCTGCCTTTTGGGCCACCCTGTATAACAATAAACCTATGTGTCCTGACTGTTGGGCCACCCTTTATAACAATAATCCTATGTATCCTGACTTTTGCGCCACCCTGTATATACACATACACAGTTTAAACACACCACTATAAATGGGTTAGGGTTGTACGATATCATCTGCAATATTGTCGTGCTATCAGTTTCGCGAGTTTATATTTTAATTCCGTTGTGTGCTTTAACGTAGCTATAAATATACGAAAAATTTAATGTTTAAATTTCATTGTTTATATATATTTTTTCTTCTCCATACCAACCCGGGTTAATGTAGGAAATAATATTTCGGTATATGGTAAGATGCACAACGTGAAGTTGATTACCTGTTTATAAGATGCATCATTCATTATCCAGAGATACACAGAGACTCATAGAGATCCATAGAGGTACATAGAGACTCATAGAGAGGCATAGATACTTATAGAGATAAAGAGACGCATTGAGACTCATAGAGATGCATATAGACTTATACAGTCATATATAGAGACTCGTAGATAAACTTAGAGACACATAGAGATGCATATAAATGCACAGAGATACCAGAGACTAATTGAGCCTTATAGAGATACATATAGAATTATACAGATAGAGACTCATAGAGATACGTTAGAGATACGTAGATATACATAGAGATGCAAAGAGATGCATTTCGACTCGTGGATGAACAGAGATACATAGATATACATATAATAAGAATAATTTATCTTTCAAAATATGTAGTTATCCTGGATAAATCAGATGATCTATGAAGCTGTTTGTCCAGTTGTATTTAATAAATATACGTTAAGATACGCAGAGGCTCGCAGATATGCATAGGCATTCATAGAGTTGTGCAATGTGAGTAGATGTGCAATATTATTTTAAACTGCAATGTTAGTCTGAAGTGCCATTCTAGTAATTATTTATTTACGTTGAACTTCTTTACCACGTACGTAGCCAACCGTGATCGAAACAAACTAAAATACAAAAAGCAGTTCTAAAGAAATGAGTTGGTCAAAATAGGATTAAAATATGCATAGCTCTCAGTGGCTTCCTCAATTCGGAAAGAAGAGAGTTTCAGTTGGTGCAGAAGCATATCCGAAAGCGACGCGCGATGCGGTGACTGCCTTCGTTCGATGGCCAGCCAGAAACTGCTCCGACTGCTGTGAGATGACAAGCGGAGTTCGCCTGATGATGGTTTAGAGCTCCTTGAGATCAGCAGCGATGTTTCGTGGTTCATTTGTGCCAAGCACTTTGTGTGTGTAAAAATAGTGTGATGACATTTTACTTTATCTGTTTGGCAAACGGACAGCCAATGATATATATATATTTTAAAGATTTTTTTCACAATTTTTATTTGACCAGGCAAAGGTCCGCTGAGCTGTTAAGCTTCTTTTTCAGAAGTAACCTGGTAACAAATGATTGCTCAATGGAGGGGCTGATTATTACGTGAACATATATATCAGTTCAGAAGATAACCATCATGACTCACAATGCCCGTGTTGAACTTGAAGCTATTCGTTGCGAGATTGGACCTTGCCAGAACAAGATCCATTCTCACAACCTCTGAAAAAGACAAAGACCCCCCCCCCACCTTTACCTTTAACAGACCGTTGGGGAAAGTGCTGTTAGTGAGCAGCACCTGCCATAGACTCAGTAATGTCCATATACTCAGCACTTACCCATAGACTGAACACTGATCATAGATTCAACACTGCCCATACTCTTTGGTTATTTTGGTAAAGTCACGTAGATAGAAAATTAATAGATTACGACGTTCCGATCGCAACACAAGCAACCGTCATCAGGTGAAATAAACACAGCAGGAGAATTGCTGGCGTAGGAGAAAGAGCTGCTGCAACAAGAGGTTATATAGGTTTTTGGTGGGCCCAACGCAAGGGTAAGTGGGCGGAGCTATTTAAGGAATTTGTACGTAAATGTAAGAGATTAGCATTTCAATCTGAGACGGCTCCAGCAACCGGGGGTTGTGCCAACGAGAAGATTAGCATGTCAATGTCAGAGAGCCAGGCAACAGGAACAAAAGACCCGCAAGAGCAAGAGATACACATGTAGAGAGAGACACACACAAAGAGACACACACAGAGAGACACACACACAGAGAGATACACACAGAGGGACAACCCACAAACAGAGACGGATATCCACATAGAGAGAGACACACACAAAGACACACACAGACACACACAGATCGATAACCACAGAGAGAGAGAGAGAGAGATACACATAAAGAAACACAAGCACATGGAGAGAGACACACACACAGATAGAGAGAGAGACACAACTTAGAGAGATACAAAGAGAGAGATACACACGTAGAGAGAGAGACCCACAGAGAGACTTGACTTTTATACATTTTATTCACCAACGGCAATTGCGCTGGAATGTTTCCAGTATATCAGTATATCAGCCTTTATGGCAACAAAAACTCAGATCGGCCCACGCGCCACTCCGCGACGCGCAGAGTCGGCCCCACATTCACCACACACCATCCGCACAACATCGCCACCGCCCCACAGCCAAGTGTCCGATGCGCTTGTCATTCCAGGCTCTCACGTCCCTTTGCCTGACAGAACACCCCCTCCACTCCCACACCCTCACCCTCCTCCCCGGCGGGCGACGGTTGTGGTGGTGCCGTCTTTAGCGCTATGGGGGGAAGGGGGCGGAGGTGGGGGGGTGGCTGTTTTTTGACCTTGCTCATCAAGGCCTTCAAGCGGTAAATTTCCTGGCGGCTATAATTATACTTTTTCGGGTCCTGGACCACACACCGGGCCGTATTCATGAAGATCCCCCTTTTGGGGAAGCTATCCTGCACCCGGACGTTGCGCCTCCCATACGACCACTTCAAGGTAGTCGGGTGTGCACGCCTCTTTGGGCATCGGAGGCCAGCTCTTCGGCCTCGCCGTCCGTCCCTTCAGGTCGTCGTTGCTAACGCCACTCACCTTGCTCACCTCTGACGCTTCAGCGTCAAAGTCGTTCGTCATGTCGGTGCAGGTCCCTTCTGTCCCCACCGCCAACCAGTCTGTGGCCAGGGCCTCACTGGGCTCGATCCCAAGCCCAGGCAGCCCACTCCCCTCAGATTCCATGGTCACCTCCTCCCCCCCCCCCCCCCCCGTCGAAACGGGCGATCGGTGACTCCTCTTCTCCCCGCATCGGGGTGGGTGAGGCCGGGTCCGGCGGTCGCGCTCCCGGCTTGGTCGCGTCCGCCTGGTGCACGCCACCAGTGACATCCATGGCCTCTCCTCCCATCTCCACCGGGTGGCTGGCTGGCTGGCTGGACAACGTCGCCAGTTGTTGCTGCCCTCATGAGCTGGGCGCTCTCGCGCCTGCCCATCCTCCTCTTCTTCCGCGCCCCTCCGACGATGGTGAACCCTCCCCCGTCGTCGTCGGTTTTCTTCTCAGGTGCCGACTCTCTGCACTCTGGCACAGAGTCGGCACCACCTTGCTCCTGCTGCTGCTGCTGCTGCCGCTGCTCCTGCTGCGGCGGCGGCTGCGGCGGCTGCTCCCGCTGCTGCTGCTGTTGTTGCAGCTGCTGCTGCTGTTCCTCTTGCTGCGGCGGCGGCGGCGGCGGCGGTGGGGGGTGCTCCCGCTGCTGCTGCTGCGGCTGCTGGTGCTGCCACTGCTGCTGCTGCTGCCGCTGCTGCTGCACGTGATGCTCCCGCTGCTGCTGCTGTTGCAGCTGCAGCGTCGGCGTCGTCTCCTCTGTCGCTGCTCCACCAGACCCCACCACTCCCTCTTTGGTCCTGGTCGAGCAGTTCCTCCTCAGGTGCCCCAGGCCGCCGCACCCGTAGCACCGCGGCGCGGTTGTGGTCAGGTACACCGTGTAGACGCGGCCACCAGCGGTGCACTTGATGGCCACGTCCAACTCGGTGCGCCCACCTTTTAATATGAGGAAGGCCTGCCGTTGCCCCGACAGGATGTGCCTCATGGCAGGGTTCCGCGACCGCATGGGCAGCAGGACGATGCTCGAGGCCACCGGGCCGTAGCGCTGTAAGTCTCCCACCAGCTCTGCGTTTGTCAGGTACAGCGGCGCGCCTGAGATGGTAACTCTCACCGCCGGCGTGGAGAGAGGGGTGCACTGGACGAGCAGCTCCCCCTCCCCTCCGATGCTGAGCCCCCCCTCCATGACACGCGCCGCCGCAGCCACCGTGGCCACGTTAACCATGTAGCCGCGGTTCTCTTGCTGCACCACACGGAAGGCCGCCAGCCCGATGTGCACCGTCACCGCGGCAGCAACGTCATCAGGCGGCAGCAACGTCATCAGGCGACATCCCCGGCGGCGGGAAACATCGGAAGCCGTGCTTGTCCGTGAGGGCCTCGTGCTGCCGAGCTGAGCCATGACACTCGCATGGCTGCAGCGCGACAGCAACATAAATAATAACAAAAAATAAACCAACAACAGTAATAATAATACTACTGCAGGTTGGAAACACGGAGAGAAACACGCAGGATGACGGCGCATTTCTCCCCCCGTTCACCTCTCTCTAGGCCAGGCTTAGGCTTCACCTGTGCCCGGGCCTCCGTCTGTACACCTGGGAAGGCAGGAGCAACCACTAGGTACGGCCACCCTCCACGGCGCCAGAGATAGAGAGAGAGAGAGACACACATATGGAGACACTCACAGAGACCGAACACAGAGAGAGACTTTTGACTTTTAAACAACTTTTATTGCCGCCAGCAGCAAAAGCACTGGAGGCGATTTCAATGTGAAATACACAGTCACCCAGAGAGACACACACAGAGAAAGACACACACAGAGAGAGAGAGAGACACACACACAGAGAGACACACACAGAGACACACACAGAGACACACACAGAGACACAACACAGAGAAACACACACAAAGAGAGACACACACATAGGGAG